TATACACATCTTAGGATACTCAAAATACTTGAATCAAGTATTTCTCAGAAGACGTTTACCTACTAATTATATTCTAGTGAATTCATATTACCTATTGACTTAACAGAATCATATCATAATATAATGTATATCATACTTTACTAGGAAGAGTATACCCATTATTCGTTCATAAGTTTATTCATCTTAATCTAAAGTTCATCATCGATAAAAAAGTACTTGTTTTTCCGAATAATTCATTAATTCAACACTAATAATATTATAATAAAATATATTAGTCACATTTTATATAATCTTCAGACGAATTCAACAACTTTATCTCTCTATCGTTGATTCATGCTGTTGCAGTAATAACTATTAAGTTTAGGTATTTACTAATAGTCATTGCCATATTTTATCTACAACTGTATACATCAATTCAATAATCAACAACAGTTTATAAATATAAAATTTTAAATACGAAAAATATTTTCGAAGAAATTAAATATTAAAGTTAAAATGATATATATATATATATTGATTCGTAGGTACTTGTATATTTATAATTTTTTATTTCCTTTAATGTTATTCACCAATATAATAAGGTTGTATCTTTCTTGTTCACATGTGTAAATAATAAATTGAAAACAAACATTTACAATTAATAAAAGGATTAGTAAATGAACACTTAAGTCACTGTTAAAAAATGGTAAACGACGTTACAAATTACAATACGACTTTGAGTGGTTTTAAAAAAAACCATTTTATAACTCCTGATAAATCCATAGTTCTTGTTAGTTTTATTATATTACAATTTGGGTAACATTACATTTTGTTGTTATTTTTTGGATTAATAATGTCTGAACATGTGTACTTGCCTATATTTCTCGCCAAAGAGAGTGTGTTGAGTTAAAATACTTTATTTTCAATGTTTTTGCGCATTATTGTGATGTGTGGCAAACATTTACTAAAAACGTCAAAAAACTAAAAAGTATTAATAGTTAATCATCTTGTCATTATTAGTTACATATTATATGTCCCGGTCATTACCCTTTCATTAAAAATATAGTTACTTGTGAGGGGTTATAATCATCTGTTACACCAGGGTGAAGTGACCAGCCAGCGTCATATTAAAATATACCTAAAGATAAGTAAAAAATGTAAAACAAGATTCCTCATAAGTTGTTCTAAAATCAGTTGAAAAAATTTAAAAATTCATTATGACAATTTTTTTTGTAAGTATTTAAAGTTAAAATTCTGACAACATATTTTATATGTTTACATTATTTAAAATATATAAATGGTTTAGTGGGTGAAAAATGTAGAAAATGTTTGAATTTTCAGTCATAATACCCGAGGATTGAAAATTTAAAACAAGGTTTCTCATAAATAGCTCATACTGTGACCAAAAAATTTGAAAATATTATTAATTAATTTATTTTTTTAATTTATTTATTTATAGTATATAAACGCCAAACGGCAATTTTAAATTATAAGATTAAGTTTAAAATTAATAGATATAACAATAATATAATACAAATTCACACAAAATTAGAACATATGGAAAAACACAACATAATATAAACTAAATGGTAATACCTTAATTTAGTAATATAGAACTATGATACAACATATTTATAACAATGATATTATTTAATTACTTATTAAAATCAAAATTAAGATTGTTCAGATTACGAAGCATTCTGTGCAAGGGGTGATTATGTCCGTATAATGTATTGTGATTTGGAACTTATATTATAAACACGGTTTTATGTTACAATTATTAGATATTTGAAGTTCGAATTTGGACTCAAGAAGTTATTTAAAGTTTAAACGAAGAATAATGAATTTAGGTACTTTCTTGTAATTTAAAAATAATGATCTTGGGTGGTTCAAATATATTGTTCGTGTGTACTTGACATTTTATAGTATATTACTATTTTTTATTCATACAAATGTAATTGTTTGTCAATAACCAATTTATTCACCTACTCTATTACTAATGTCTAATAATAAAAAATAAAAC